CACACATACCTAAACTGTTTAGCTTTTTTTTTTTAAACAGAAACAGAGAAAAAAAAAAACGCTCTGACGTCACGTGTAAATGCGTCGGTTCTGACTGGGCGAGACGTGTGCATTCACTCAAGTCACTAAATTCAGAGCAGAACTAAAACAGATGTTTAAAGAAAGGGATTTCTGCCCTTTTTTCCTCCCTCTGGAACGAGACAAAGAAATAAAAATATGAAAGCGAGAGCGTAAGGAAGGAATCAAACTAAAACTGAGCCTTTGATCAGACTGAGAGACGTGGACGTGGAGGAGAAACACGATCGGTTTCACTGCCACGCTGATACACACTTAACACGAGACACATTTGAGTCGCTGCCTCGCCGCGGGCCTCTCCTCCTCCCAGCATGCTCTGGGGTTTGATTCCATCCACACAAACACCTGTATGGACCTGACTCGAACCGTCCCGCACTTAATTGGAGACAAATGTAAGCTCTTTCAAACAGAGACGTCTCTCTGAATACGTCCACACACACACACACACACACACACACACACAGAGCTGTAAGACATTCAGCTGGTCCCCACAATGAAAACTGCTTTATAACAAAAACTGGAGCTTTTATTTTAAACACCTAGGAGTTACAGGTTTAGGGTTTGGGTTAGAGTTAAGTCTAGAGCAGTGTTAATTAGCTGCATTATTAATTATGTGAACAGAAGGTCCTCACAAGGATAGTAAGACAAACGTGTGTGTGTGTGTGTTTGGAGCCTACTGATGAAATGTCCCCGGGATAAATAAAAGGTTAATTACGTTTAAATGAACTAACTGAAGGAGTGAATGAATGACGTCCCTGTCAGATTTATTCAATAATCGATCGATTCACACAAAAACAGATTAATCTGAAAAAAAAAAAAAACAAAGACAGGAAATTAAATCAAACAATATAACACAAAAACGTCACTACTATAATAATATCTTGGCAAGTGAAGAATGTTATCTAATGTTTCTCATTATGAGATTATTATATAACAAATCTAAGCTCTTCCTGGACATATTTACTCCTTTTAAGCTTAAAATGGTCTTAATTGTCTAGAAATAAATACTTGAAATAAGTAAAATTATCTGCCAGTACGTAGAATAAGAGAATGTCAAGCTTGAAAGGAGTAATCTAATAAGATATAATAATAATTATAATAATTCTAATAAGGTAATAAGATATCGACGGATAGGATTTATAAAGGATTTTAAATAAACAAGCTTTAGTTGCATGTGTGTATATTGGAGATAATATTACTCGCTAAGACGTCATGTTCTTGCTGACGGATTATTTTGTCTGTGAACACACTCCTGGCCTCGTCTCAGCTACTCGCTCTCTCTCTCAGGAATGCAAAACAGCAGAGACCTTCGACCAGCGGACGTGAACCCTCACCCCAAACCTTTCCTTTATTTCTTTATCTCAAAAAAAAGAAAAGGTGATCATCTTTCAAACCTCCATCACGTTGCTTTTCTGCACAAATCCCGATCGATCAAATTATACGCATAATATATCTTATTAATATCAATATGAGTATCTCGTCCGAGGTGGAACAAGATGACGGTTAGATGATGAAAGCACATCATCGACAGTGATTTGTGGCTGATTTACGCTTTTTCAGAAGAACATCTGAAGATACAGATTAGCAGAAAGAGTAAAGACTATAACCTGGTGATAGGCATCTCATCACAGACTGGAGTTAGCACGCACGGCCGAGTGTGTCGGCTTTATCCCCACATCAAACATCCACTTCAGCTCTCAACACTGATCTGTGGAACACTTACACACCCTCATGTCTCCTTAAACCCTCTCTCTCTCTCTCTCTCTCTCTCGCTCTCTCTCTCTCTCTCTCTCTCTCTCTCTGTCTCTGTCTCTGTAGCTCTCTCTCTCTCGCTCTGTCTCTCTCTGTAGCTCTCTTTGTCATGACAGAGTGAAGATAAAACAGGAATTTCTCAGGTAGACATGTCTGTAGAAATGTAGACAGAAAATTTCCCTCAGCATCTACACACACACACACACACACACACACACACACGCGCGCGTGCATGCAGGACACACAGCCAGGACTGAGGACGTTCTGTAGTAAATCACAGATCCTTGTAGCCAGGAGGATTACTCCTGATTTAGTAAAAGTCGGTCGTCTGGAGTATTCATGGTTGTGATGTTACTTTAACAATATTTCAGCTGTTACTTTCATACACAGTTCTGTGCAAAAGTCTTAGGCACATGCAAAGAAATGCTGTAGAGTAAAGACGCCTTCAAAAATAATGAAATTAAATGTTTCTACAGTAAAAAAATCCTATAAAGAGCAGTAAACAGTAATAAATGAAACAAAGTCAG